CCCCCCCGTCCCCTGCGCACCCAGATGGGGAGCACCCAGGGGAGGGATGGGAGCGGGGCTGCTGTTAATTTTTGCCTCAATTTTGCCTTAATTACGATGTCGATTATTCACAAGCTTGGAGTCGAGGGTGAAAACCCACAGGACACCAACCAGCCGAGTTTCACGCTTCTGCCCGGCCCAATACTGTCCCAGGTCAGCCAAAAATAAGTCTTTTTTATGAAAAAGTGGTGCTCATGCTACAGGGATAAAACGTTTAGTGTAAAACAATGCAATCAGTGAGGCTGCAGGGGAAAAAAACCCCACTAATCTTAGTTTCAAATAGTTTCTGTGCTACTTATTTGATGCTTGCATTGTAAGGCTTTGATGGACGACAGGGAACGAGGCCGCTTCACACACCATGGGAGACTTCAGCTCTGATTACAAGGGAGTGTTTGGCTTCCAAGGCCACGCTCAGCAAACAAGCTTATATTTCAATATTAGGTACTTATACATCGATGGCGACGCTGTTCTGCACACAGGGCGATACCCCAGAGCCTCGCTCTGCTCTGTCACAGCTTCACGGCAAGAAATCCACGTGCTCTGCACTTCCCTGAGTGCCTTCTGTTGTGATTTGACAGAGGTGGGGGGACTTGAATGGGATTCAAGCCTTGAACTGCCATCAGAGCCCAGTGGTGACCAGCACTTAACTCCTGCCCAGGAGAAAGTTGTTAACACACATTAATGATGATGAATGTTGCATGCCTGACATAACAGCAATCCAGCTTCAGCTCAAAAATGCCCAGGTTATTGATCAGGGAGATGCATTCAGCTTCTAAGACATACACCAGAGCACTCACATCAGCTCCTCGCCACGTCCTCAGTGTCTGATGCCTGCAGAACCTGGAGATGAAGCTGCACCACGATTCCTTCGCTGTCAGACACAAGGAAGGGAAGAGCAGCAGGAGGGCTGTAGAAATCTACCCCCAGTATGGTTTATTATTTTATCTCGATGCTTGTTGAGCACAGCTATTAAATACCGAGCTATTCAATACCTGACATCTCAACTACACAATATTCTTTACAGGAAATTGTTGAACACACACGAGCTCCTAAAGGTGTAATCACTGAATGACTGGGCTGAACTATCCCACAGCAGAAAGCAACATGGAAAAGGAGCCCTGGCAGTTTCTTGTAAGGTGCAAATCACTCCCATGCTTTTGTATGAGGTGCAAATATGTCAAGAATGAGCTGGACAGTTCTGCAGAGTGCAACGGAGCAGTCGGTTGTGCAAACAGAATAAATCCTTCTAATTCAATCAGAATTGTGCACTTGCATCATGCACAGCTCATCAAAAGCAAAAACCTTGTAATAAACTCAAGGGCCTGGGATACGGCTTCACCAACACATCCCCTTGTGCTAAGGAGGACACTCAGTGTTAATAACCACTGCCTCAACAATTCCAGTGTCGTAATTAAATGTGTCCACACAAACGCCCCAGTAGCAACAGAAAAGCAGAAACGTTTGGCAGCATCAAAACTGTTACTGTAAGCAGCAGCCTTTTAACAGCAGCTCTCTGCTTCCCTCGGTGGAGAATCAACATTGTATTAAATTCAACCTATTCTATGCTAGTAAAGTCACTCGATGTTGCAATCTCCCCAGTGAGAGACATCACAGGATCCCAGACCGTTAGGGATTGGAAGGGACCTCCAAAGCTCATCCAGTCCAATCCCCCTGCCGGAGCAGGAACACCCAGATGAGGTTACACAGGAAGGCGTCCAGGCGGGTTTTGAATGTCTGCAGAGAAGGAGACTCCACAACCTCTCTGGGCAGCCTGGGCCAGGGCTCTGTCACCCTCACTGAGAAGAAGTTTCTTCTCACATTGAAGTGGAACCTCCTGTGTTCCAGTTTGTGTCCGTTACCCCTTGTCCTATCATTGTTTGTCACCGAGAAGAGCCCGGCTCCATCCTCGTGCCACCCACCCTTTAAATATTTATAACCATGAATGAGGTCTCCCCTCAGTCTCCTCTTCTGCAAACTAAAGAGCCCCAGCTCCCTCAGCCGCTCCTCAGAAGGGAGATGCTCCACTCCCTCCATCATCTTTGTAGCCCTACGCTGGACTCTCTCCAGCAGTTCCTGTCCTTCTTGAACTGAGGGGCCCAGAACTGGACACAATATTCCAGATGCGGTCTCACCAGGGCAGAGTAGAGGGGCAGGAGAACCTCTCTGCCCTACAACCACCCCCCTCCTGATACACCCCAGGATGGCATTGGCCTTCTTGGCCACAAGGGCACAGTGCTGGCTCATGGTCATCCTGCTGGCCACAGTCTTTCCTGATGTAAACACATGCATATTTGTTTTGAAATGAGAATTCAAACCGCAGTTACCAATACATCTCTCGGGATTATGAGATGAAAAAGAGAGGGTCCCTAAGGACTAAGGGGGGAAAAACCTGAAAAATTGTGTGTGGGACAGGTAGGGAGGGAACAAAGAAAACCAACATCTCCTTCTGCCAGAAAAACCACACACAGAGTAAGGCTCAGATTCTCCGTACATAAACCAGCGTCAAAGTTTTATTGTTGCTTTACTACTCAATGCAGGGAGAACGGGGCGGAGCAAACAAAAAAAGCCACCAAAAAAACCAGACCAGGTACAAAAGCATCAGTCCAGTGTGCATCTAGGTCAAACCATCTGCGATCCGAAGTAACAGCAGATCTCCTCTACACACTGTTTGAATATAAAATCCTAGGGACACGGGTCTGTGGTATTTTATCATACGGAAGATGGCAATAGGACAAAGAAAAGGCAGCTCCATTTCCACCTTTATCTGTCTGGACGGGTCATCCCCGGCCTGGTTGGCACCATCATGGGTCTGGAGGGTGGCCTCATCATCGGGGGCCCTGGCATCATGGGCATGTGTCCTCCCATCGGTGGCCTCATCCCCGGAGCTGAAATGGGAAAGGGAGGGCGTTAGAGAGAGCTCATGGGGGCTCTGCAAGCGTTGATGTGCAAGCTGAGATGGAAGACATTTCCCTGGAGGATGTCAGCAATTACTGGAGGAAGAACCAAGTCCCTGGTTTGACAACATTCACTGATCAATTCTTTTCAGCCACTCAAGAGAGAACACTTGTTTAATTACTCAGATGGAAAGCTCGCTTGGAAGAAAGCGTGATCTCCTCCAGTTAAGTGTGCTACTGGTGTACTTCCTACAGCCATATAGCAGCACTACCAAGGAAAAACAAGTGCTCTACTAAAAAGCACGGAGATAATGGTTTCCATCCAACTTCTCCATTTATTTTCAAGCAGCCACTCTGCTGCCTGCTATTGCAGATTATGGATGTATTTTGTGCCTTTAAAAAACACTTAAAGAACAGTTTCTACCAGCAGGACAATAATTGCAAGGACGCTTCACTACTTTTAATGTGCGTGTGTGTATTCCTTTAGATTTGTTCCAGTAACTGCTCCAGTAAAACGCCCTCTGAGAGCTCTTCAAACACCACTAAGCTCAGCAGCAGAATGGATCATGACATTTGAGTTTGCTTTTACGGTTCTGATAAAGAACTTTTTAAGGCACATCGTTTCTCTGGAACACATCATCATGAGACATTTTAAACTATAAAATTAATTTAGTGCTGAAAAGTCACCCCTTGGGCAAAAATGGAAATGCAGAACTTCTCCACAATTCTAGATCGTGCTGCTAGGAGGTAGAAAAGCTACAGTTTACCACAGCAATAATTCCAGTTGTAAAGAGGACCGAGAAACTCTCAACAAGTAGTAAAGGAACTTTAAATAGGTGTAAGGCTGCTTTATGTCACTGTAAAGGGATAACTGATCAGCAAACGTGCCTACACAGCAAAAGCAAAGTGAAATACATGCACAGCTCCACACCTGGGGCTGTCCATCCCTGCTGCATCTCCCACGAGCTATAAACCAGTGCATCACTCCAGCCAGCACCCAACAGAGACAGAAAATGAAACCCCAACGCCCTGCAAACCATGCAGTCATGGAGCTTTCCCCATCTGCAGACTTACCGGGTCCAACCGGCATCATTCCCGGTGGGGGTGGGCCCATCATCGGCATCATTGGTGGTCCACCCATATGAGGGGCCGGCATCATGCCGGGCCGTGGGGGGCCAGCTGGACACACAGAGAGACTGGTGACACATCTGGCTGCTTTCACATTCATCAACAACGTGCAACGTAAACAGTTACTAAACTTGACAGGAAACCTTAGTAATAAAGGTGCCTCAGAGTGTTTTACGACTGCCTGCCTTCAATTTCCATTTCAACTCTGACTTCAGGTGCCAAAAAGTGAACAGGAGGAAGAACACGCTAAGGATTATTTCCAGCTTTGCATACCTAGTGCAGATGCTGCTTCCAGCAGCAGAAAGGGATCTCAGCCATTTGCCAGCTGCAAAACAAGGTTATCGATCCTATTCCATTTAAAAAATACAACAACAAAATCCCATGCTGGAAGTTTTAATGATGCTGTCACGTTTGGGTGCCAGAGCATGGCCCAGGCTGCCCAGAGAGGTTGTGGAGTCTCCTTGTCTGCAGACACCCAAAGCCCTGGCTGTGTTCCTGTGTGACTGCTCTGGTGATCCTGCTCTGGGGGGGTTGCACTGGGGGAGCTTTCCAGGGCCCTTCCAACTCCTGATACTCTGGGATTCTGTCTACACAGCGGCTACCAAGTAACAGAGGCACACATTTCTATTAATGTACTCAACATTACAAAAATAAGACAAACTAAAGACTAAGATGGTTGCTAAAACGCTCTTACAAAGCATTCTCTGACATTTTTGGTACTCACAGGCTCAAAATGTCTTAGCTTGATTTCAAGCTAAAAGGACTTTAAAAGCTAAAAGGTGTTCCTGCTCCGGCAGGGGGATTGGACTGGATGAGCTTTTGAGGTCCCTTCCAATCCCTAACGGTCTGGGATTCTGTGACTTTTCTTGACAAGTCCAGGAAACGTGCAACACAACCCAAGAGAGCTGCCACCCCAGTCACAAACCGGCCAGTTCAGACTTACGGATGCTGGGAGGAGGTGGTATCATGGCTCCGGCCGGCGGCGGTGCCGAGAACGGTGTAGGTGGAATTTTCCCTTGCTGAAATGCAGCCGCTACATTGGGGGGGAAAAGAAAAAAAAAAAAGGAAAGAAAGAATCCCAGGAGAAAAAAAAACCAGTTACTAAGCAGAGGAAGCTCCTGCGCCAATCTTCCGTCTCATGCCACACGGTCAGCGCGTACTTCACGTCATGCTGCGTGCCCGGTTGTTCTAACTGGAACAAATCCCTGGTTTATGCTGCTTGTCGTGGAGGAAACACCTGATATTCTCAAAGGCAATTATCACAGTAATTACTCCAGCCGAGACTAGAGAGCTCCTTGGTGAAATTCAGGCTCCTAACAGGAAGGCGGATGGTAGAGAAAACACATCACGGGATCTGCTGCTGCAGCTTTCACCTGGGATCATTTGGTAAAGAAATGTTGTCCTGGAAACGGGAATAAGGTAAGGACTTGGGTAGGTGACAAAAAGCATGAAAGCCATCTTATGTGGAAGGGAAGAGAAGAAATTCAAAAGACTGGAATTGACCAGGAGGAAGGCAAAAGATGTGAGAGTCAGAAGCATGTAAAGAAAGCTGCCATGAAGTTAATCTGGCATTTGGGTTTCTTTTCATAAAGAACCTTTATTCAGGGGACAAATGAGAGGAAAAGAACCCTGTGAACTGTGCCATTTCACACTTGAATTCAAGCCTTTGAATTCAAGGCAAGGGAGGGGAAAAAAAATTCCTCAGGAATTGAAGACAAGCACCTATAGCATTTAAAAAAAATATGTGTCTATCAATTTTAACGTCCATTTTCCTATCTTTTGGATTTCTTATTCGTGCTCTTTACATAAATGTGCTACTAGCGAAAAGCAAACGTGTGTTCTGTGACTGTGTGTGACGTTACCAGCAGTGCTGAAGGTGGTGGGATCTACAACCCTCTCGACCACAGAAGAGCAGGAAATGTCTGCGTGCAACAACCTCTGGGGCAGAGCCCTCAGTCCCTCCGTGGATGCCCACACCCTGACAGGTTCAAGATTCAGATTCTAAGCGAAGTTTTCGCTCACGATTCACAGAGCAGAGACTGACTCACCAGGGAAAGGTGGAAGGAACAACAAGGCAGAACAGAAAAAAAGCAGGTAGAGGAAGGACAGGAGAAGTAACAGGAGAGCAATCCAGGGTCATGGAAGGATTAGCCTTACTTGTTTTATCAATCAGGCTCTGGGCTTGTTCCTCCATCCATTTCTGATAGTAGTCTTTCACATTCTCTTTGTGTTTGCGGCCACTGCAGTGGGTTTTTCTCACAGAGGGCTGAGAAGAGACACAAAAACCCACAGCTCACATAGCACCACAGAATCACAGAAT